GTGTGTGTGTGTGTGTGTGTGTGTGTGTGTGTGTGTGTGTGTGTGTGTGTGTGTGTTGTCTTGGGGCTTGGGTGCTGTCCCTGCTTTTGTGCTTAAGACTAGTGCTCTACTACTTTGAGCCACAAATGTACTTCTGCCTTTTTTGGTAGTTAATGGGAGATAAAAGTCTCAAAAACTTTTCGGCCCTGGCTTTGAACTGAGATCCTCAGATCTCAGCATCCTGAGTAACTAGAATTACAGGTGTGAGCCGTTGGTGCTCAATTATAATCTCAGTGTTTACTTGCTATAATTTGGTACATATTCTTGGTCTTTTTTTGGAGTAGCAAGTATTTCAAATGATTTTTCACATTTTAGTTTGTATTTAAAAGTTAAATCTCCATTTAGCATGTTCTGTTCATATTTTGATCCTCTTTGTATCTATTTTGGCAGCCTCTAGATTTAGTATCCTTCCTAAAATTCATTAGCTATTTACTTCCTGTTTTAGTCCATTAAGGATATTAATTCACTTCTTGCAGCATCTAGTTTCCTGTTTATTTTAAAATTATTAGTATTGCTTAAAAGAATGAATTCAAACAATTGACAGCTTTGTGCTTTTTGTTGTTGTTGTTGTTGCTTGTGTGACTTGAACTCTGGGCCTGGGCACTGTCTTGGAGCTCTTCAGCTCAAGGCAAGCACTCTACCACCTGAGCTACCTTCGCAGCCCTGGTCTGGGGGGTTTTGTTTGCTTGTTTGCTTGTCTGTCATGGGTTTTAAACTCAGGGCCTGGGCTCTGTCTCTGAGCTCTTTTGCTCAAGTCTTGATGATTTACCTATTGAGTCACAGCACCACTGCTAGCTTTTTCTGAGTACCTAATTGGAGATAGAAGTCTCAAGGACTTTTAACCTAGAACTGGCTTTGAACCATGATCTTTAGATCTCATCCTCCTGAGTACCTAGGAGTACAGGCATGAGCCACTGGCACCCAGATGGTCTGACTTTTCTTTAACTGTATTTTATAGCTACTTAAAGTAATTGTTTTCTGTGTGATTTTTTTTTTTTTGTCTCTGCCACAAACTTGTTAGGCGATGAGTTACTGGTTTTGTAATCTTTTACATTTTTAGAGATTGTCCCTTCTCCATTTTTAGTATTTTTAAAATTTAATATTACCTCTTAATTATCTTGAAGATGCCACCCACTCAGTATCTGAACAAAATGCTAAATTTGTTATGCTTCATGCAAAAGAGAGCTATGACTATAGGGCAGGATTTCTTCGAGTGAAACAAACTTTTCCTTACTAGGTTTGGGAAAATTATGGAGTTCAAGGATTGATAAAGTATGAGTATTTAGGAGTACTCTCTTTTTGTTATGCAAAGGTGGCTGTTACTGACTGGCTAGGTATTTTAAGTGAGATCATTATGATCATCATTTTGGCTAGGGAGTGTTTCCCAGGCCGGCCTTGAACTCCCCTCTGCCTTAGCCTATGCCACTATTCCCAGGGGAAGATATTACTGATAGACAAAAATAGGCTTAAAGACAGTTTTGCTGAGCACTTTTTGTTATATTGCTTTCTTTAGCTTGAAGTATAGGAAGTCATTCTTTGTCATTTGTAAAATATTTATATGATTCCAAGTTGAAAACTGTATTACACGGTATATTCACAGAATCTTTAGTTTTTCTTTAAAGTTGGTTGGAATACAACCACACTTACTTGTTTGCATATTGTGTGTGGCTTCTTTTGTGTTGTGGTGACAGAGTTGAGTAGCCATGACAAGAGTATATTTCCTGTGCAGTCTCAAATAGTTGCTAGCCCTTCACTGAATGTTTGTCTATGCACGTTAAGAGAATCGTTTTCATCAAAGGAAATTATTGCCTTATCTTCTTTTTAAAAAAAAGTAATAAAAGCAAAAGCCTGTGGTGACTCACGCCTGTAATCCTAGCTACTTGGGAGGATGAGGTCTGAGGATTGTGATGGAAGCCAGCCCAGTTGGTTTTGGGACTTGAACTCTGGGCCTGGGCACTGCCCCTCAGCTCCTTAGCTCAAGGTGAGCGCTCTACCACTTGAGCCACAGCGCCACTCCAGTTTTCTGGTAGTTTATTGGAGATAAGAGTCTCACTGACTTTCCTGCCTGGGCTGGCTTTGAACCTTGATCCTCAGATCTCAGCCTTCTTTTGTTCCTTTCCTTTTCTTTTCTTCTTTTTTTTTTTTTTGCCAATCCTGAAG